GACTGATATCCATATGTGATCACAGAAATGTATGTGTTTCTGGAGAAGCTGTTGTGTGGGATCCAGAATACACAATTCTTCAGTACTTAATGAAAATGTGAGGCTGGTCACTGGTAAATGATAGGTGCCTTATGAGGTCCTCCATTGTGACTGTACAAGCATGGTAGGTCAGGGTTCCATGAGTTACCAGCGTCACACTGAAGTACAAACAAAACAAAACCACTATGTGAATGCATTTTCACCTCCAAACCTATGTGTGCTTTAGTGAATATAGCAATATATTCAGATTTGTCTCATATTTATATCTTTCCCTGTGGTATAAGAGGAGCGTTTGTTCTGATTACTGTCTTGGATAAAACTTCTAGCACAACTTCCTGACATTCTCATTGTTCTCCTGATCTACCGCGCCGAGGGTGGAGTTCAGACGCTGACACGAAGGGTAGAGATCTGTGGCACCCCAGACACCAGCGCACACCTCTGCCTTTACCAAAGTCTACAAAGGGCACAAAGTCTTTTAACAAGTGGCAAGGCACAAAGTGTGTTTTAAGCGGGTAGTGTGAGCTGTGCCGCCGCCATATGACTTGTTCCGACAGAGCAGAGCGTGGGTGAAACATCCGCAGCGCCCTCCTCTCTCTCCGTGATGACTCCATGACAGCTCGGCACAAAAAACCCTTTCTGATGTTGAAGTGCGGGGAGCTTGTCGACGGAGGGGGGTGAGAGGCCGAGTGCGTCAGCGTGAGTCTTGTATGAAGAATGAGAGACTGGCAGGTGGTGGGCTGGGGGTGGAGCTCCCACAGAATTTAGAACCGCTCACTCCTGTCATGATTATACGCAGCCCAATCAGCTCAAGAGCACTAACACTACAGTCTGGTCAAATGAAGCTTTGCTCAAATAGTTAGACAGTTTATAATAAATGCAATCATCAACAATGTGACTTGTGGGCTCCACCTGTGGCACCTACGCTCCATGCACACAGAAAATCCCAGTGTCTCCTAGACATGTTCTTGATCCAAACAGTGCATGTGTGCAGTGTTGCTGAAAGTAAAGTGGAGTAAGCACAAAACTTTTAAGGCTCGGACATGCCCATTTGGCCATGCTCAAATTATTTTTCAACTACCTAGATGTTCTTATTGTTCAGTTGTCCCCTATTGCCTTATTTTTATTTCAAGTGCATACTTTTGATGTGCAGTAATCAATTTCCAAGTAACCTTGAGCATTTCTTTGTTGCCGTGTGGGGCATGAGATAGGATGTTTGTGCCTTCCTTAAGTGTGTCACTGGGCACATGGTGTTGCTAGTGCCTAAGCTAAGAGCGCTTGAACCTCACTCAGAATGTGTGTCCCAGTAGCCTGCTCCTGCCAGATTGGCCTGAGCTGCACAAGTCATTGAAGGGCTCATGTAAGACCAAGTGAAAGAGGCTGCAACTGAGCGCTTTGTTCTCTGTGTGATTGTGGAGCTGTCAGGCCAGAGCCAGAGCTGTGGTCTTGGGCTTACAGCCCCGGTGCTGTTCCAGGAGGAAGTGTCCATGTCGCCTGTGTTTGGGGGCGCTGCTAATATCACACAGAACATCTGTCTGTGCTGAAGGAGCACTGTGTGCAAAGCTCTGCACTTGGCACGGCCACACTGGCTGCATGTCTGTTCAGTGGGGAGCATTTACTGCTTCATCTTCCTCTAAACAAAAGCAGGACCTGGATGTGTATATCATGTCCCTATTGAGGAGGCTAAGTTCCCAAAACACCTTGTCTGATCCGGTTTGATCCGGTCTGAAGTTGTCATAACTTTTCCCACTACGGTACGTTATCTTGTTCAGATTATAAAAAGCCAGTGTTGGAGCTGGGATTGAATCAATAGCTTTCAACCTTAGGTTTAGTTTTAAACTATGAAATATCCAATAAATAACAGTCTTGTTTTGTCTCCCACATGACCCCTGCTAAATGAAGGTCATATTTTTAGATGTAACCATTGTCTTTGGGGTGAGTGCAGGTTTGTTTAAGAACATTCATGGGGCGTTTCCTCACCACAGCTGTGTATTTGTCCTTCATGGTCCCAAGTGAACCTTTCAAATATTTATTTCCTTTGGGTTGCACAGTGGTGTATTTTTTACACATCTGACCATTTGATTCAAAATGCAATAAACTTCTATGCTTTGTGCCAGACAGATATGAAAAGGTAGTGTCAAACCAAGCCTATAGATTTGAACAATTCAACACTCTTTGTTTTAAATTTAATAAACTGCATTATCCTTACCCCTAATGCATAATATATGAATCTAATGTTGATTAAAATTGACTTATGGGTAATACTAGTGTCTCAAGGAGTAGCTGTAATGAATTCTGACAGGTAAAGATCCCAAAATAGCCCCTCACAGGAGGTTGAGAGAAGGTGAACCACAGACACTGGGGAGGCAGCAGCTGTTGTACAGGGTCACTTTGCGCACAGCCCCCTGTGTCCCACTGACCTGAGAGTGTAGACACTTATACTTTAGAGGATATTTATTAAAGTGTTTACCCACATGCTAAACAGATTGGATATGCTCGAAGTAGAGCTGAGATTTGTGTTTCTGCAAATTCTACTCTTGGATTTTTTATTTTTTGTGACGTGTCTAAAGAGGGCTGCAAGAAGACAACAGATCTTCTAGATCTTTCAGATGGAGTTTCTTTCACAGCAAACATACAAATGTGTACCCACAAGGATATAATGAATAGATTCAGTCATCTGATCTTCATTATGTGACTGCACCGTCTCTATGACATTATCAGCAGAGAAGCAGCAAACATCACTAGCATTTTAAGATTTCTTTTTCACATTTGGGAATGAGCTTGCACTAACTTAGAATTACAAATGGAACTGTGTGGGACAAGGTGCATAAACAAATGGCTGCGCTCTTTGTGAAGTTGACACTATTTATAACCTTTGGCTATTTGACAGTGAGGTTTAGTTAGGTTGATATAAGTAGTTTTCAGATATCTTTTGTCAATAAACAGTAGTAGTAATTTGTTGTTCATGAGTTTGACTCAGACACGGTGGTCATGTGTTAGAATTGTTTTGTATTTATATAGAGTTTATAGAGTTGACTCCTGAGTTCCTGTGAATCAGTGACTGTATTATTTGGGAGTCCTGTTCCTCTGAGGCTGAATAAGCAATAAATCCAACTTCTTTCCAAATCTCCTGGGACTTGTTCCTGTCTCTGTTATTTATTAAAAACAACAGCAGCTCCTGTTTACTGCTCGTCGACCAAAGACAAGCGCCACACTGCTGCTACTGCTGTCACATCTACATTACAAGTGCGGCGCGCCTGTTTGAACTGCCTCCGAGGATAAAACTTTATTATCAGGCCTCCGCTCTGAAGTCAGGAGGAAATGACAATCCTTCTACACTTTTATGTGGAAGGCACTTTGAGTTCAGTTTTGAGACTAGATCTAGTCTACATTGGATACGAAGCTAAACTAGAAAATATTTGATAAGATAATGAAGGAGGTTATTCCAGGAGTGATGAAAAAGATGAAAAATTAGGACCGTTGCCATAGCAATTAACAATTTGCTTCCAACCAACACGCATATATTGCTTGAAAAAGGAGAAAAAAAAAATAAACAGTTCAACTTTATGAAGAGAATAAAATAGGCACATCCACATTAAAGGGGCTATATTTAGTGCTGTCATGCGATTAAAACATTTTAGAGATTAATTAATTATGATCTGTAATTAATTAATCTAATTAATCTCTTTTTAATCTCACCTAAAAATTGCTGAGAAAAGCCTTCAATTTGAGGTATTTTCATTTAAATTCATTATTACATTATTGTGGCAGATCAAAAGACTGATATAGAACAAAAAAAGTTACTTTATAAAGTCATTTATTGTTTAACAAACTTTAACAGCTGCAGTCACTTACATTCCACAGTATCATCATTATTATTGCTATTACTAATCTGCAGTGTAAAATATATTCCCCTACAGATTACAGATTACATATCCCAAAATGTAGTTTGTAACTTAATCCATTTAATTACTTAAAGTGACGTAATTTGAATACTTTGGATTACTTGATATTGTCATGCTTTTTAAAACTACATGAATGTAACAACTGCATCCTGCAAATGTTGTTCTTGTTTGTTCTCTTCAAATTGGCTGTTGAGCCCAAGTCTCCATGAATAAGAAACTGTTTGCTGTAAAGTAGCAAAGACGAGGAAATCTGAACATAATAACTTTTGTCTACTTAAAGACAATAAAAAGTCCAGTCTTTCCTTAACCATATTAAAAATATTACTGATAGAGAAATGCTTTATATCTGAGATCACTGGTTTTAGTCCTGGTTTTAGTCCTGGTTTAGACCTGCTTTAGTCCTACTTTAGTCCTAGTTTAGTCCTGGAATGGGTTAGTCCTGGTTTTAGTCCTGGTGTTAGTCCTGGTTTAGACCTGGTTTAGACCTACTTTAGTCCTAGTTTAGTCCTGGAATGGGTTAGTCCTGGTTTTAGTCCTGGTGTTAGTCCTGGTTTAGACCTGGTTTTAGTTCTGGTTTTAGTTCTGGTTTAGTCCTGGTTTAGTCTTGGTTTAGACCTGGTTTAGTTCTGGTTTAGACCTGGTTTAGTCCTGGACTGGGTTAGTCCCGGTTTTAGTCTTGGAGTTAGTTCTGGTTTAGAGGTGCACAGGAGGAAGCGCAGTTTACGCAGCGAACGCGAGAAAATTTACGCGGCGCACGAGAGGACAGCGGTGTCCGTGCAGTAACTACAGAAGGAAACGTGGTCCGCGCGTTCTCAGGTTAATGACGATGATGAAGGTGTGTGTTTGTGTGTGTTTGTGTATAGGACAGTAGTGCAGACATCATTAGTCTATGCACACTGAAAAAACGGTCCGAGAGGGGTTGCTCAAAATGCAAAAACAAATTTGACAACAATAACATCACTTTTTTACGTTTCTCTGTCAAGCATGTTTAAATCTTACAAACATCGCTTGATTGTGGCCGATGTGAGACCTGCATGTTTTAATCAGGTTGAGGAAACATGACTTTATTATAATCTGTGGTGAGGCTCCTCCCTCTGGAATTCTCCTCCCCAAAACCTTTGGAGGGAAAATTCAAATGTAACAGGACACAGGACAGTTACAGGAGCAGAGGACACACAGTGTGGAGCAGGAGGATTATGAAGCTGATCTGGAGGTGAGACTTTTCAAAGATTTTATTATATGCTTCTCCGGCCTAGAATGTCGTCATCGTTAAAACATGTTTGTGTTGTTATTTTAAATTAGAGTTAATGTAAGGACAGCTTGAATCAAATTGTCTTTGACTGTCCATCTACAAGAGTGTGACACTTGTACTAAGATTTAAATGTGTTGCTTCCAGAGTCGTCTACAAACACAGAGTGACGTCCAGAGCTCTGCTGGAGCTGTGGGGAAGTTCATGAATGTTATAGTTGATGTTTCAGAAAAAAGGAAGATGTTTGAGAACCAACAAAACACAGACCACAGATGAACAAAGTAAGTAAACCAACTAAAAAATTTTTTTATTTTTTCAAAATGAACTTCCTATTGAAACTGTTATCGTACTTGTACAAGGTGATGTGGCATTAGGAGGACTTTATACCAGATGCCCTCCCTGTTACTGTGTTTAGAGGAAGAAAAGCAGCACATGGTGAGTTTTGTTTCTGCAGATACAGTTCTAATGTTCTTGTGATTCTGTTCTGGTCCGTTATTGTAGTAATAAGTGCTATAAATGTATTTAAACATGTACAACAGAGTAGATCATCATAATGTAATCATCATGTGTTATTCCTGTGTCCACAGGCAGAGACCAGAGCTTCTTCACTGGAATAAATCTTCACACTGTCCAGCTCCAAACTGTGTATCTCTGTCCCTGTGCTCTCTTTGTGTTTGATTCTGTTTAAGACAATACAGATCTGTAGAAAACTAAAGACTGTTTTTGTATTCTTTTACAGAATTAGATCAAAATTAAATTAAATTATACATACTTATACATTTCATGATAAGGTAACATAAGATAAATATGCATATTCAGCATGATTTGTTCAAATTTCATCAACATGAAAAAGTGATGTTCATGTTCCGAGAAAAATATGTGTAGAGGGAATCGAAAAAAGTTTCAAAGCCTAAACATAATTTTATTGCGTGCAACCGCTTTCCATAACTTTTTTATGCAAATCCAGCAACTTTTTTTTTTTCAGTGCAGGTTGTTTTCACCAGTGACATTTAAGTTGTAGGCGATTTTATATTTGTTATTTTCTTTTATATTTCACGTCAAGAGAATAATTTCCAAGACATGAATGCGTTTTTACCTGTGCACTGCTGCCTCTGTTCTACTGGCTCTTCGACCTCGTCCATTGTGCGACTGACGCCGCCAACGTTAACATGACGTTTACATCGCTCTTACTGCGCGCGTTTTGTGTGGGTTTCCGGCAATGAGTGGAATTACCGAAATAAAAAAAATTATAAATGTGTTTTTTGTGTGTGTGTGTGTTGTCCCAACAACACATAAAAACAGATTTTATAATAAAGCAACTCGCATACAGAAACAGTAAAGTTAGAGATTAAAAATGAGATTAACACGATTAAAAAACATAACGCACTAAATATGACTGTAATTAATTAATTGTGATAATTTGACACCCCTAGCTATATTACACTACTATTTTATTTATGTTATAATGTTGTTTCCTCATCAAAAATATTTTGGGAGTTGTGTTTTGTTTCATCACACATGTTTAACACAAATCCTGCATATTCAGGCCGAGTCTGTTCCACCTTGTGATGTCATGGGGCAATACAGGAAGTGCTCCACTGTGCTTTTTAACTTTTTCACTAGAATAATTTGAATAATTTCAGCCCTGGAATTGCCAATCTCTAGTAAACCAATGGAAAAATGTAGCTGCTAACTTGAAAACTATAAGTTCATTACATAACAAGGTGGAACAGAGCATTTTGAGCTTTGGAGATATAGAAACACTAATAATAAAGGCTTACTCAAATAGGTGCCATTGAATCAAAACACTACTCCAGATATGTTTTTGATGAGGTAACATGGCTAAAAATTTCACAAGAGTCAATTCTGTGTTATATAGGACCTTTAAAGTGTGTAAAATTTTTGTCTGACCATACTACTGATATCTCTTAATAGTTGTACTGGGTCTGCTAGCACTTGGCTGTTGGCACACTCAGAATGGAGGAGTAGTGCGCCTCTCTTCTCTGGACCTGCACCATGTCATAAGTGTGTCATGTGAATTATTGAGCTTTGATGACACTAGCACCTTCCTGCCCTGCCAGAGAGGGACATAGATCACAAACAGAAAAGACAGTGGAGACAAGAGTTAATGTTTGACATCTGAGTACTTTCATCATTTTAAAGGGCCTATATTACACACACAAAATTGACTCTTGTGAGTTTTAAGCCATGTTACAATATTGTTAGCTCCTCAGAAACAGCTGGAGTTGTGTTTTGTTGCATTCATACATGTTTGAGTAACCATTTATTATTAGTCTGTCTACATTTTCAAATCTCAAAATGCTCTGATCCACCTTGTGATGTCATGAAGTGGTAGTTTTCAAATTAACAGCTTCTATTAGCTCTAGTTAGGCAGAGATTGGTAATTCAAGGACTGAAATCATCCAGATGATTCTAGTGAAGGTGTATGGAGTTTAAAAACACAGAGGAGCACTTCCTGTATCACCACATGACATCACAAGGTGGAACAGAGTATTTTCTGTTTGAGAGCAGAACTACTAAATATGCAGGGTTTGTGTGTTAAACATGTGTGTGTGTGTGTGTGTGTGTGTGTGTGTGTGTGTGTGTGTGTGTGTGTGTGTGTGTGTGTGTGTGTGTGTGTGTGTGTGTGTGTGTGAAGGAAACAAAACACAACTCCAGGTGTGTTTGTGATGAGGAAACAACATTATAACATAGAACAGAAAATAAAAACTGCAGCTCGTATAATGAAAACGAAACTAAATTCAGTGTAGACTTAATAAAGCTGCTACTGTAATATAATAAAATAGTTCCTTTAAAAACTACAATGTTAATGAATGACGTTAATTGCCTGCTGTTGGCGTAGAAACAGTTGACTTTGTAGAGCAATAACCAATAACAGCTCCTCAGAGGTCCCTGAGCAGCAGCTTAGTGGCATTTACCAAACTGTTGAATCAAAAATGTGCCTCATAGATTTGAAGCTGTTTCTCTGTGTGTTATGAAAGTCAACAGCGTAAAGCCTTGTTTTACAGCAGAGATTACACAAACAGTGATGAGCTCCAGATAATTAGAACAGTATGTGTGTTTGAAGATAGAGGCGTCACACCATGGCACTGGAGTGCTTCCTTTACACTTTGTTTCTGCTCACATCTTTCAAAAGCATAAAAGACAAATTGTGCTTATATTGTTTTTTGTTTTTCCTCTGAAGATGGAGCTTGTTCTCTTGACCATGTAAACAGTCATAAATGCCTGAAGCTAGCACAGCTTGATAGGGAGATGGGCCAAATACAAAGTCTGACCCTTTCAAACTCTTTACTTTGAAAAGTGCAGCCTGGAACAGTGCAGTTTGCGTCAAATCCAACAGCTTGTTAATGTTATTACGGAATCTCCACAGATGGCTGTTAAATGCTGCAGTTTGGTCCAGAGCCACTGACCAGACCCCAACAAGGGCCTTTTCCAAAAGTCTGTATGTCTGTGTGCTCCTCTGAGTCCAGCGAGTGTAATTAGTAATTGATTTTACAATCTTTGCTGACCACAGCTCGGTCACAGAGCTGGATACAGCACAGGTCAGCTTCCTGTTAGCATCGACCGCTAACACTGGGCAAATAGTTGTGGAGGTGAGCACAACAGACTTTTTCTCTAGAAGGAACCTCTGCCAAAAATAGTCTGATTGGAATACAACTATTATGTTAAAAGGTTATGACAGACTATTTTTGACTGCACTTGGGGGGAGAGTGGACATAGTTTTGTTATGACTGAATACTTCAGGCCTACTTTACCTAAATCACTTAACACTTGGCCAGTTCCATAGGCTGCTATATATTAAGGGTTCTCAAACTTTTCCAACCACCACATCTAAACCAGCTCTAAAAAGGCATTAAAAGGGGACTAAAAGGGCATTAGATAGGGGAGGACAAAGGGGTCTGTTGTCTCGGGCCCCAGGTTTTTAGAGGCCCAGAATTGGACCCTCCTATTAATTATTATTAGAGGGTGACCCCAAGCCTCCAGATTTCTGTTGACAGGCCTGATTCTAGGTCTAAACTACAGGGCTAAATCAGGACTAAAAAGGACAATACATGCTATAAACAAGGTCTAAACCAAAGGATGAGAAGAACTGTAGAGTAAACTGACAGTTTGAGAACCACTGTTATATAGGATTCAAGACAGTAACAACACATGGTGTACATAACTTTTATATAAACAAAACGTAAGGTGCAATAACACAATTGGTACTCTGACACAATGGAATAAGTCAGCAGCAAACTAATCTGCATTTATAAGCAGCCTCTGCTCTGTGCAGTGCCTCAAACTCATTCAAACATACAGACAGTATATGAGTGGAAATCTGGCATAATAAAAGTTTGAAACTCACTGAACCATAAAACGAGCAATTACATTACATCCTTTGCTGATTAAACCGGGCATTGGGGTGCAGCAGGGTGCCCTCACATGTACTGGTCTCCTGGTTGGTTTTCCGTGTTTGACTCAAGCTGAAGTCTGCCACAGCTACAGAGGATCTTATGCACAGTCTCTCCAAAAGCACATTTGAATGGAGCATTAAACTGCAGTAGTGAGGTGGGTGTTTGTTCCAGGGACTTTTTACTGGATTTATGTCACACTTGTGAAGTTGGACCATGAGCAGGTTTTGACACTGTAGCTGGAGATACTTTATTTTCTTTTTGTCTCTAAATGGCTCTATTTATTGGATTGACTAGTTGATTTTATGTCACCATTTGCAGCACTTTGGAAATTAGAAATATATTGAATTAGACACTTTATGAATAAGTATTGTCTGCTATTTCTTTTTTTGTTTTTGTCTACTAGGTAGATTATAGTGCTTAAGATTAAATACATCATTTTTCTTCACTTTGCTAAAATGTGAGTCATTTTGGAGAACAGGTGACTTGAGTGTTGAGAAACAGGAGAACAGTTCATTTTTACACTGGGGTCCTGTTTAAATTATTGACTGGTTATTTAAAAATGCATTGTACTTTGTCTTCCAGTGCAACACATATGTGGCCTTTGTGAGTGTTTGGCTTTGATTAGAAGTAGTTTTGGGACACCACTCAACAAATTTTGAGAAATATTAATACCAATCCAATATAATCAGTCAATTAATTAATTAATTAATTATAATAAATTAAACAATTGTTCTGAAAGTCTGGAAATTCTTATCCATATCAGTGATCCATATCTAGAAATAACATCACTATTCACTAAAGCAAACTGTCTTTTATGGAGTATTTACTGACCAAATTAAACAGACAACATTTAAATATGAAATATGCAAATGAGTGCAGGCTACCCTAGGCTGGTGTCTAGACATACATGACCTACAAGGCCAAACAAAGTGTAGATTACTGTGGTTGAGAAATTCTGAAAATAAATCATACTGGCTAGTTATCTAAAGTCATATGTTGAGTCTAGACTAAACAATAAAGTCATTCTGTGATGTGCACATATGACCAAGGAGAGTGGATGTCCAGTCACAATGTGGTCCTGGTCCAGGTCCCGTGGTTTAGTCTGAAGTCTTCAGGTGGTCGAATCTGAAGAATCAGATGAGCTGGGACAGACGGAGACCACATGATCTAAACAATATCCCCAGGCTCAAGCAGCTGAGGAAATGCTGTAACCTCTATTTAAAGAAGAGCAGGTCTGATAGTGCTGGTCACAGATTAAGGCCAATGAATCAAAAGGCTATTGGCTACAAAAATGCAA